CCCCGGGGGGCCCTGGGGGGGGGGGGGGGGAGCCGCTCTGGGCTAGGAGCGGGGCCGGCTTATCCAGTGGGCACGGTGCCAGGGGCCCACGGAAATGGTTTAATTTCTTTTAAAATCAGAAGGAAAAAAAAAAAACCTTTTAGGTTCGAAGAAAATGTTTTAATTTTTTTCTCACATCAGAAAAAAAAAGGAAACTTTTAGGGCCCACGAAAATCTATTACTTTTTGCCTAAAACAGGAAAAAAAAAAGTTGAAGTATTTAAAGTTATATCAAAAATAATTTTTTATATTTTTTTTAATGGAGGAAAGGGCCCACGAAAGTCAAAATGCAGCCTTGGCTAGGCGTGGACAGGGTGACTGCCGTACCCAGGCTGGAACACATGCCCCATCCCCACTTTAATCAATTACCATTTAAGTCATATGTTTAATTGGTTAACCAGTTAAACAGGATTTACACCTCCTACTCCACATTGGGAGGGGGGAGGCTGCTCCGCTTGGTCACCAGTTAACCGTTTATTGGTAACCATCACCCAGTATGGGTGATGCTTACAGGTGAACATGTTACAGCCTTACTTGGATTTTGGGTAAGTTATGCTCAGGTCTATTCGATGGGTCAAGCCTTAAAAGTAGGCTGGAGTAGACCTGTATTAAGTACTATACAAAGCACAAACAAAAGGGCTATGACTACACTGGCGGGTTCTTGCACAAGAATCCGCAGAGCGTCCACACTGCCCCCCCCCCCCCCTGCGGAAGACTTACAGTACGGCGTGGTAAGAGAGGGCTTCTTGCGCAAGAGCTATGCTCTTTTTTAACAGGTGTAAGGCCTCTTGTGCAGAGGCTCTTGCGCAAGAGGGTAGTGTGGACACTCGACAGGGGTTTCTTGTGCAAGAAAGCCCTATGGCTAAAATGGCCATCGGAGCTTTCTTGCACAAGAGAATGTCCACACTGCCATGGGCTCTCTTGCACAAAAGGCAAGGCTCTCTTGCTTGCAAATGGCAGTGTGTACTTCTTCTTGCGAAAGAACCCTTGCGCAAGATGTTCTTGCACAAGAAGCCGCCAGTGTAGATATAGCCAAAGTGTTCACTGCTGCAAAGTGCATACAGTTAGATAATACAATGAATGGATTCAAACAGGTTGAGTTGCCATAAGGTGACAATCTCTTGCACAAAAGGCAAGGCTCTCTTGCTTGCAAATGGCAGTGTGTACTTCTTCTTGCGAAAGAACCCTTGCGCAAGATGTTCTTGCACAAGAAGCCGCCAGTGTAGATATAGCCAAAGTGTTCACTGCTGCAAAGTGCATACAGTTAGATAATACAATGAATGGATTCAAACAGGTTGAGTTGCCATAAGGTGACAAT